AAAGAGGGGAGGTCCCTTTTGTTCTATATATTCCCTATTTTATAATCTTCTAGGTTCAAGCATAATGACTCATGTATGTTTGTCATCCTTTTGTGTATCAGGATTCTGTTTATCACTGTGGAACGTGGTATTGTTCCCAGAGAAAATTTTTAATCCCTTGCCCGGAGGTGCAGGGAGTGTCTGCTGGTTTTGTTGAGGATGTCAAAAGTTTGCGGTTTTGTTTGTGATGGATTAGGAGAGTGTGTTTACCTAGTTCTCTATGGGCATGAAAAGATCTATGCATCTGTAGTGTTACCACTTCTGTTGAGAATTTATTGCTGTTAGCAACAGCTTGCTTAGAAGGAGGCAGAAAGCTTTGCTGTGCTAGAGTTTCATGCTTTATTATATGTGGGTCCCACACTCCAGGTTCAATGAATGACCTTGTCTAATTGTATTTATTTCCTGATAACAGTAGGAATCCTTATGCACTCCCTTCTGTTTCTAGAACTAGTGAATGATTAATGGTGAATGACCACCAAATTATATTTAACACTATTAGTAGGTCAGATACATACTGGTTCAATAAAGTCTTCTATCTTTCTATCTTTATGATAAAAAAACTAGTAAATGTTACTGGGCTTCTGGCAGAAAGGCAATTCCAAGTAAAAGAAGTCTTGCTGCATACATGTAAAACTTAATCTCTCCTATTAACTGTGTTGGATAGTGTTTTAAGACCCCTATCCCATTATATGAGTTTCTTCCAAACGTATTCTGCTGGCAGGGCTTACCCTTTCATTAGGGTAGCTTCATATCAAGTCTCAGCTGGTAGATGAAATACAGATAAGTAAATATGGTAGGAAGAATACAGTAGTGTTTTTTCAATGTAAACTTTCCAACTGATAACAGAGAAAGATTTTTAAGACTTCTTTTCTGGGTAGAGGAGGGGGAAAATTAGTTTTTAGTATTTTCCAGAGGTTGTGCTGTTGCTATCCTTGGAGGTTTTCAAGACCTGCCTAGGAAAAGTCCTTGAGCAACTTGGTCTAATCTCATAGCTGACTCTGCTTTGACGAGGAGGTTGTACTAGAGATCACTCAAGGTCCCTTTCAGCCTGAATTATTCGATTATTCTAATATGTAACTAGAATGTTTCTAAAGTTCAAAATTTCACTGAAAGATACACTTTAAGGTTTCAAAGAAACTGGAGAATTAGAACTTCATCTGTTTTTTGTCAGGATTGTTCTAAGAGTTTCAGAGTAAACTGTACTATCTAAATGAAATCAAGAGTTCATGGATTAAAAGCTTTAATAGCAATTCCTACTGGCATGTTCTGCAGTTCACCTGTCTGCTATTAGATTTTACTTTCTAGGTCCCTGAACATTTTTCAAGCAAAAGATTATGCATGGTGTTAGTGAGAAAAAGCTGTTTTCACAAGAACATCATCATAGCCCAGTCAGTTATACTGGCTTACCCATTGTATACTTGAGTAGGATGTTTTATTGGGTGTCATCTTAGCTTGGCCACAGTCAGTTACTTTTGGAAACAGTCTGCTGATGGTTAATGAAGAGCATTGTATATTCTAGCTCAGCTTCTGCTTCAAGGCAGAGCTTCTAACTTGTGATTCCTTCAGAATAGATGTTAGTATAGTCCTCAGGATTCTACACGCTGATGGTTTTTTTATAGTAGTATATCCAAATCTAAGTAGTTTTTCTTCATTTCTTTCTTTTTTTATATATTGTCAGATTGTTCGTGAGCTCTGTATTTGTAGTCTTGAAGCAAACTGGGTTCTGCCTAAGTGCTTTTTCTTTCTTCACCATTTGGTTCCTTTTGTGATTCCTAAACTACACGATTGTCGTTCTCCTCAAATCACTATTCCTAAAAGCAGTTATAATTGACAGCATAGCTTACCAAGATATTCTTTGCATACTTTAGTTACAATTCATATATCTGAACCCATCTTACATGGATATTTGGGTTGATGGTAGAAAATTACTATTAATTATACGGGCACTGTATTTATTCAAAAGAATAAATGTTAATTTATTGTTGTTTAAACTTCTGTATTCATAGAAAATTTTGTTGTGTAATTTATTTTCAGGTTTTTAATGCGAAAACATCAGAGCTCTTGAGCCACCATCAAGTTGAGATAATGCAGAAATTCCCTAAAGAAGGGTATGAATTTTCTGTGGTTTTTCATTTGTGTACATTTTTGTAGGGCTTATGTATTTATATCTATGAATGATCAAAACTGAAGTTGATAATAACTAAGAACACAGTATGTGCTACAAAAGACTGTGTGATAGAAAAAATGGTATAAAAAACCTCACGTGGAGTGTCTGGTATGTGCTCAGAGTTATGTAAACTAAAAATAGTGGTTTACTCCTTATTAACATATTTAACGTATCGTTAACATATTTGACATTTAAACTTTAAAGTTTACAACTAAAGTTTAAACAAGACTTAAAGTCTCATTTAAAGTGGTAAAGCCGGTCATTTTCACAATTTAGTCATAGTTTTCATCTTAGTCCATATATATTGCTTAGTATGTTCTCTGAAGTGATTTCATTTGATTGCTTGTTCTTAGCTGACCTAATATTTGCTGCCAAAGTCTTCTGAATAGAATAAAGCAAAAGAAAAATATTTGTTTTCTGCAGGTTTTTTCTTGTGAAAATACAGTTTACTGTTTAAAAAGGGTTTGAATTCATTACACTTTTTCTAGATATGTAAAACTTACTTTGTAGTTATGATTTTTGTCAAATGCTCAGCTGTTTTTTTCAGACTAAAAATTTCTTCTTTTTCCCTAAATGCACTATTTTTGCATTTTTATTAAGTGGTGTTTACTTCTTGTTAAAGGTGGGTAGAACAAGATCCAAAGGAAATACTAAGTTCTGTCCATGAATGCGTGGAAAAGACCTGTGAGAAACTGCAACAACTGAACATAGACATCACTAATATAAAAGGTATTCATAAAATCATAGAATCACTTAGGTTGGAAAAGATATTTAAGATCATCAAGTTCTACCATTACCCCAGGACTACCAAGTCCACCAGTAAACCATGTCGTTAAGGGCCTCGTCTTCTACTACTGAAGGTTAACTGAGGGCTTTAACATATGGTTAAGCAACTCAGATTCTCTAGTTTTTAAGTCAATAAATAAGAACGGTGGCAGAATGTGGTGGCTTCAAAGAAAATTTTAAATTGGAACTGAGAGCAGTTTGTTTAGGAGGAATAATGAGAAAGTAAGTCCTTTGTCTATTTTAGCAATGCAGGATCTACAAAGTAGACGTAAGAGACACAAGTGATGAATGAAGAAATTCTGAAATTTAAATTAGGAACTCATTTGGAAAAACAAGTTTCCCTTTCAGTGTTGTTGCTGCCTCAGTTTGTGTCAAAAAAAAAATATTTAGAATACGTAAGCAGCAAAAGTTGAATGGTGATGATTTCGAAGTAATATTTCTAGATTGTAACATGAAAAAGTTGGAAGCATTTTATTTCCCATTTGCTTACCTCTTCTTCTTACCAATACCTCCATCCTCTCCACCTATCCCTTCCCTTACTCACCCCTCAAAAGGGGTAAACAAACCTTCTGAAAAGGATACTTCTTTCTATTTTGTCCTGAAGCCATTGGAGTCAGCAATCAGAGAGAAACAACAGTGGTTTGGGACAAGACAACTGGAGAACCTCTTTATAATGCAATCGGTAACTGTATTACTTTTGAATTATGTAAGATCATAAAATGAGCATGTTGTGGAAAAATGCTTTCCTTACTTCCTGTGCAGATCTCATTATGGCCAAGCTTACTAACTTCTTTGGTTTTTTGATGTCTGTGTTCTAAGCTGTGTGTTTGTATAAACCAGTGCAATTAAAAAACCCCAAACTATTCTGTTAGAATTATTGCTTAATAAATCACTTTTTATTGTGATTCTAAAAAAAACAATGTTCCTGAGAGGTTTTGTACATCCCTGGCATGTAATGAAGCTCTGAGTTATGCCAAATCACTTAATTTCAAATGAAGGAGCTTACTACATTTTCAGGATTCTTTTGATTTAACTTCAAAGGAAAAACACGTTAACAGGTTTAATGAAATCTTATTGCTTTTAACTTACCTTAGCTATTCAGATTATGTCAGCTGTAGCATAGTATCTTTGAAAAAAAAGGACTCTTCAGTTCAAATCTGTGTTGCTGACAGCTTTATCTTAAGCCCAGTGGTACCTTGATAACTCTGATGTAGCACTTAAGTTCAAAGTTTTCATAAGAGTAGTAAATAATCAGCCTGTTATTTGTTTTAACCTCTTAGTTTAAGGACAGTCATCTGCTGTAAACAAAGTAATATCAATAATTTTCTTATGCTCCAAAAGAGAAAAATATATATCCTATTATGTGGAAAATCATATTTGACTTGTCATCTTGTTTGTTCTCCTAAATCAATAAGTTTATCTAACCATTTTAAAATTTTACAACAGTGCATTTAAAATACAATGGCAATACATTATTCTTCCAACTACCTGAAAAGCTAAAACCAAAAAAGACAGGAATTTACTAGCAAGAGCTCTAGTTTTGTAGAATAATCTTGTACATGTCACTCCTCCTGTATTAAATCAGTTGATCAGTTAATTTATTCATGTTTTCAGTGTGGCTTGACCTGAGAACCCAGGCAACAGTTGACCGTCTTCTTAAAAAAATTCCAGGAAGAAACAAATCCTTTTTTAAGGTAAGACATATTCCAGAACATTTAAATAGTAGCTAAACTCTTACTGCTGCAGTATATAATGTTTCGAGATGAGTGCTTAAAATTCCCCAAAACAAATCCTTGTAGTATCTAGTCCCTTTTTAGCTTGTAAAATAACAAAAGATAGGCATAATGCTATACACCAATCTGAGACCTGGAAATTGTTTATTTTCCTCAAAAGAAGTGGTTAACACACCTTACATACCTCAGTACAGAAGTTAAATGAGTAATCGTTAGTGAGACTTAATCATGTGCTATCCAATGGTAAGTAAACATCACACACAAAAATTAAGAGCAAGTAGAAAAAAAAACATTTGGAAAGTAATTTATTGATGTAAAATGTGTTATCCTTTCTCATGACTTAATGAAATCAATTGCAATCAATCTGAGAACTGGAAGATAGTTCATAAAAAGCAAATTCATTCTTCTTTTATATGTGGGTATATATAAAAAAAGGCATCATAATTCCTTGATTTATATTTTCCTTGATTGATTGTATAATTTGTATTTATTTTCTGTATATGTGTTTTCCAGTAGGCAGGAAATGGAAGTCGAAAATCATAAAAGCGTATTTGATTTTTAATTGAATACAAATTCCATCTTTTCTGTGTCGTGCTGCTCGTTTTTGTTGTTGTTACTAGCAGTCTAGTCGTGTGGGGATATCCTAGATAAGACAGGACTTCTGCAAACAACTGTTTCCACATAAATGGTCTTTGAACTGCATTTAGAGCAGCTTTGATCTTTGTCCATTAATGCACTGATCATTTGTTTATATTTTTAGACTTCCACGTTGTATGGTTAGTACTTATTTAAATAACAAGTCTGTGCAATTTCTCCGAGTTTTTTATCTTTGGTTTTTCACTTACAATCACCATTTTTACATATAACTACAGTATTCATGGAAAGGATACTCTTACGGTATTTAAATGATTTTTTAATTTTATTTTACAGTTTAGGACTGGTCTTCCACTTAGCACTTATTTTAGTGCAGTGAAACTTCGATGGCTTTTGGATAATGTGGAAGAAATTAAGCAAGCAGTTGGTGATGGAAGAGCTATGTTTGGGACTATTGACTCATGGCTTATATGGGTATGTATTTGTGAATTTATTACCACTCTTTTTAAAATTAATTTCCATATCATACAAATTCCTGTGCAAAGTACTGTGACATATGATGCCCACTGATCACGCAGTGATGTGAATACCAGCCAACTAAAGGAATGCCATTAAACTTCAGTAGGATCATAAAATAGTTAGGGTTGGAAAGGACCTTAAAATCATCTAGTTCCAACCCCCTGCCATTAGCAGGGACACCACACACTAAACTGTGTCACCCAAGACTCCATCCACCCTGGCCTCGAACATTGCCAGGGATGGAGCATTCACAACTTCCTTGGGCAACCCATTCCAGTGCCTCACCACCCTCACAGGAAAGAACTTCTTTCTTATATCTAACCTAAACTTCCCCTGTTTAAGTTTGAACCCAT